TCTCTATGAGGGAAATGACATTAAATTACATTCATTAACCTCAAAACAGTGACAAAGATGGTAAATGTGAACAGAACCAACTCCCCCCCCTCCAGTAATCCTCTTCTCCAGCTTTGATGCACAATAGAGCCCCAGAGCGATTGACTGTGCAATGGACAGTGGGGATAACTGTTGAGTGAAATTACAGTGAAGTGAACTATTCCTCATCTTGCAGTGGATACCCCCTTCCTAAATCCCATCGGCCCTTTGACTCAGCGTCCTTAAATAACGGTTTGCTCTCCTCGACACTTCCTGCACGCCCCGTAAACAACGGCCAGGAGATAAGCCAGGCAGCCCAGGCAGGCGAACACGGCGGCAGTCAGGTAGACCTTGTAAAGGCAGGGGTGCTTGTACAGGTCCAGATTGCAGTAGGAGTTGCGTTCGGTCTTGTAAATCATGACCCCGATGGCCGGCAGGTAGAGCGCCGCGGCGGCCACGTCGTGCGCCAGGTTGGTGCACAGCCAGCGCTCCCCTCCCAGGAGAGGAACGAGGTCCTGCCTGTCCAAGAGCGTCAGGAAGAAAAGGGTGAGGGTGAGGAGCCAGAAGAGAACCGCGACGAACAGGACGAAGTGGATGGACCCCTCGTACTTGTTGGCGGCGATGGTGACCCACAGCCCGGCCCCGAGCACGATCTGCAGGATTCGGACGATGCCCAAAAAACTCCTGAGGAACCTCAGGATGTTGCTCTTCACCTGAGACTGGGACGCTTGGGGTGGCATCTCTCTCCTCCTCTACGGTCAATCTCGGTTTCTCTTTTTCTCTAACAGGGCGGGTGGCTTTTTTGCCAGCTGTTTGCAGCTGGTGAAAAAGAAGGACAAAAAAAGTGGAATTCGGTGGCTTGGAGAAAGGGTTGGCGGTCCGCGTAAAACGAAAGAAATTCTTCCAAAATGCCAAAACTTTGAGAGTAAAAAAGGAACTTTCTGTTCTTTCCACGGCCCCGGGGTTTTGAAATGACAAACCTTCTATGTTTCGTCTTTTCCGTTTCCTCTGTTGAATGCAGCGTTTGTGAAGAGAGGGGGGGGGGGCTGGGTGATGGAGAGGGAGCGGCCTGTAATTCTAACCCCGCTCCTCCTCTGCTGGATGGCCGACTCATCCGCGTCCACTGATCTGCCACAGCATGTCTGTGACATGTTTTCTCTTTTTACAAACACACCTCCATAGATATGTGTGTGTGGGACATGTTTGCCAACGTCCAAAGAAAACACATTTGCTCCTTTAACTGATGTCACTCGTGATGATTTTTTTCTCCTCTTTGGTGAATACTGCTTCTGTTCATAAAGCTCTAGTGTTTAGGGGCCCGTGCGTCATTGTGTGTGCGTCTTTGGGCGCGCGATTCTCACAAGTTACCTCTTTCACACATAATTGACAGGCGCTCCTCTCGCCAGCCGGGCTCATTGACGTCAATGGATTGCAGCCCAGGACTTCCTACGTGGCCAGGAGGTGGGGTCAGCCGCCAGCCCCCTCCCACCCAAAGCCGCCATTGGCTGAAGGCTGATCTGAATCAGCCTGGAAAGGCGGTGCACAATCCCTATTACTGTTTTTTTTCCGCACGATATTGATTTATGATTGACACAGCACAGCACAAGGACAAAAATCGATTGCAAGAGAAGCTCTACAAACAACCCCGCAACAGTGGAGCAATTTACTCGAAAGGGATGAGCTATGCGTAAGATACAAAGGGAGAGACAGAGGGACTGAATATTCGTCTATAATCTTGGGTAAGCGAATGCACTTTCAGTCCTTCACATGACAGCCTTATGATGCACCATCTTTGTTTTTGTTGATACGCAAGTTATAACACGGCGTAGGCTATAAGTTGTTAATTACTTTGTTAGTGTTTATTGTCTTATGGTGGAATTCCCTATAGCTATGTGTGTAGCCCGTTTTTCTTTTTTGCACCACCGAGAAACGTGAGGTAAGTTCTATGGAACGAAATAGTTGCAAGTAAATGGAATCAGGTCAAATGTGTTTTTTATGATAATCGGCGTGAAATTCACATATGTCCTCGAGTGATTTAGCGTGAAGTGGTCGTGCACAGAGCCAGCTCATGATTGGATTGGCCCAGTTAAAAGCTGTGGAACTGGACGGGCTGGTTAATGGGCGACCTCCTGCAAGTGGGGTGGAATTGCCATCCACTTGGATAATGTTCATTTAGCCAATAACACAATTTGCACAGCCACTGGAAACAATGACTTCCATTTCCTAAAAGAAACACTCTCAAGAAAATTGATAAATCTTCTAAAAAAGAGAGCCGTGTAAAAGAGAACGGGTGTAAAACAGAGATATACAGGTCAATGTGACAAGAGAGAAAAGTTTAAGCACTACACTTTTGACATTTTGACCTTTTAACAGCTAAATGGATGTTATTCTTCATTATTTTAAAATATCCCTCTTTATTTCAAATAATGAATAACTGTCTACCACACAGCATTCTGCTCATGAGGGAAGCAGTTTAGCAATTTCCTAGTCGAAGAGCAGTACCTTTTTCAGTTGTTGGGGGAAAAAAATAAGCATTTGAGTTACTGGTTGGAAAGTTTTAACATCTGAAATGCTGACAAATACTTTTTCAGCAAACTGCTGCACTCTTTAGTCAAGTTTTGAGCCATGGGGATCATTCTGAGGCCCCAGTGTCCCGCTTACAAACATATGTGTGTGAAGAGAGAATGAGTTACCATCTGGAGCGCCATTGACTTTAAAGGGCTAATCGTCACTTGCCGTCAAACAAGATTAAGGAATCAGTGTCGACTTGTGACAGCTGGCCATAAATACTGTCACAAACACGCTTTGTGCTCATTCCCTTTCATAAATAACTCTTTAACTATTGATGCCGAGGCAGGAACTGATGGAGTTCTGAAACATCCCTCTGACGGTCTTGTGCTGCTTTTGTCAAATCAGACTTAAGCTCATGATCCGTGTTTTGCAGAGAGAAGACTTAAACTCAAATGCTTGTTTTCTTTAACACAGGGCGTAGTCCACCTTTTCCTCTGTCTGTCTGGATGGATTCTGGGTCAGCGCCGCCTTCGTCCTCCATGTTGGCGGGCCCTGCTTCGCTTTGGCGCCTGGCTGAGAGGAGGAGCAGGAAGGCCGGCTCGGGGAACATTTTTAGCAACGTGAATCTGTGGCAGCTGCAGAAACTATTCAGGGCTGCAGGGGACCAGGATGCGGATCAAAGGGCCCAGCTGGTTTGGGGGCTCAGGGATGAGGCTGAAATGGCTCAGGCCTTGATAGCACTGAGGGCACGGAGTCAGCGGGGAGGGCTGAGGACCAATGGGAGGGATGCTCTGGGAACCCACTGGCTACGGGCTTTTGATCACCTCAGGTAGAGCTACTGTTAATCACACATACTTTAGCAAGAGTCAGCAGTATGTCATTTTTCTATCATACTTAAACACTGTGTTTCTCAGGATTGGGGAGAGCTCACCAAGCAGCCAGAGGAAGGATGGCGATGCAGAGAGTGATGCGGGTACAGGAGCAGAAATGAGTCCAGATGCTGCGAGGCACAGCTCAGGAGGGACAGCGGGAAGAGGGGCGGCGAGTGCAGCGGCGCCGGCTGAGAGCCAGACCTCTGCAGGGACTTCTGACAGAACACTCCGAACCGGCTCAGGGAAGAGGAGGGGAGGAGGGAGCAACCCGGAGAGATACCTTCACCGAATCCTCCACAGATGTGCCAAAAGCAGGGCCGAAAAAACCTAAAGGAGAGGGTAGCAATATCCTGCCAGGCTCAAATGAAACTGTCCTGTAAGAATACAGACACAGCACGGTAACAGCCATGTTTCCACTAATTACTCAGTACAAACCATGATAAACTCTCAGGGACTGCCTTATCTGCTCTCACAGATTCAATCCTACCGTTAACACTAACCTAAAAATGTACAATGTCATTTAAATCAGTAATGTTAATGTAAATTATTCTATCATTGCAAAGTCACTACAATAATTATTCTGTTACAGAAATTAAGCTAAAGTGTACTCAACAGTACTTCCTGTTCCAAAAAAAGAAAAAAAGTTCAATCATTTAATTTGGCTTGAAAATAATATTTTGCCCACCTGTGTGTAGTACAAGTTAAATAAATGCCATAAGTAAGTACGGAAAGGATTTTTGTCTCCTAACATACCTAATACACTGATTCTGAGAAGACAAATGCTACTTTATTGGCAGAGCATGCACTAAAACCAAGAAAGTATCATGGGTTAGTAGTTTTATAAAAGAGAGTAAAACATATATCAGTGATCAAACACCAATGAGGTAATGCATCTGAGGACAGGTGATGGAAAAACACTGAACCTCTCCGTTAGAACACCGGAGAAGATAAGAATGGCGGGGTGAAAAAAATTGTGTGGTAAAGACGGAACTATTAAATGAAAGGCTACTCTCCATTTGAAAGTAAACTAACTAATTGTCTTTTCAAACTAAAGTTCACCAAAGCTTTATTTAAATTATATAGACAGCTCAACTGAGAGGCCAAAGAAGCCTACTGTGCACATCAAAACAAACTTGAAAACAGAATGCTGTTAAATGAAAACTATTCAGGTAACAAGAAACTGACTGTAAGACAAACTTAAAACAACTCTGCAAAGATTTTTGATAACACTGTTTTTTAATTACAGTTGTAAAACCGTGTGTGTTTGTTGTCTCATTTTTTTAAATGGGTAATAACACTTAGTTGATACTATTGACGTGCTTCTAAATTAATGTGTGATTGTAATGTGAAAGAATATGTAAATCCACACTTTTTGAAATGTAGGACTGGTTGCTGTGATGCCTTTTGATCTCTCCCATGAGGGTGTTCCACACCTCCACCTCTGGTCTGCAGCAGTCTGACATTAACCTCAGTGAAGTGTGACTTCCTTTAAAAACCAAAAAAAACTCATTAATAATCATAATAATAATCATCGTCTAATTTCTTTGATTGTGTTTGGACTTTTTCAGTTCTCATTAACCCTTATTCCTTATTTAAATTTGTAACGGGTTTCCTTAATGCGTCTTTCAGTGTCTTGCTTCCTGATTTAGTTTTATACCTGGATTAGCAAAATCCGCAAATCCACGCCTGTTTTGAATCAAATCACCACTCCTGTCTGTATTTGAAGCCCATTTGTATTCACTGTGTTCCAGCTCCACATCATACTTGTCATATTCATCTATCCCCTGATGGGTTATTTTGTTGTTGACTTTTTGTCACGACATTGTGTGTTTTTATTCTGTTGATTAAGGTTTATGTCTGATTTTCTCCTGAATGCCACAACTGACAACACCACAGCCCTAAAGTGCTTTAATCATGAGCAAATGTTTAAGTTTCTGATCAAATAAATCTGATGAGAAAAACGTTTCTTTGTGGCTATGAGTACATTTTATTTTTTCAAAAGGCCTTACACAATATCGATGACAGAACAAGAAATAAGTAAAGACAACATACATCTGAATGTGACTATGTGAAAAAAACTGGTTTAATTTCTGGATAAAATTGAGAATAAAAAGAGAGCTCTTACACATAAGGGCCAATGGGGTCACAAGGCACAGAAGGAAAAAGTGAAGATAACCAAAGCAGAAGGAACACAGATTCAATTGAAATTCAATCAGGCAACACATGAAAAAGGTCACCTTTTAACAAGAAGCATTAGACAAAGAACATCCTTACAATAAGAAACATTCAATCAAATTTTAACATAGATGATTGCCCCAAAAATGTAGTGTCCTTGGAAAAGGCAAAATTCCACAGCATGGATGATTAAACCCACAGGTTTTATTGTTTAGTCATTTTGATGTGATAGTTTTGGATTAGAAATATTTGCTGTTCTGCTGGGACTTTATTTGAACGTTTGCTTTGTACAAATAACATGTTCTTGGAAAAAGAGATATGTGTAAGTCTGGGGCTGATGAGCACCCACTCAGTTATATTCAGTCTTGATTGATTGTATTAACTCAATTATGCAATGGAGGATACTATTTCACACAAAATACCTACAGAGATAAAAAGTATAGCAGAAATAAATCATGCTCTTTTGTGGTCACCTCTCCTTTTAAACCCATGTGATATGTCCTCAGGCACTAGATGGTGCAATGGGCTTTGTTTTGTGAGAGAAGAACCCCACTGTGAGCTGGGAAAGGCTCAAGCTAGACATGGATGTGTCAGTTAGCCCACAGAAAATCTGACATCAATTTAAAGGGCAGTGATAAACTGAAGATCTTGTTCATTTGAGCTTTTCTTTTCTTTTCTTTTCTAAATGGCAAAATGTTTAAATCAGCAGTCTGTTGTTTTCAATCTCCTTTGTTTTAACTCTGAAATCATGGGCTGTATGAATATGATACCTGTACTAAATGTAATCACATCACTGCACTGAACACCAGTGTACAGCATAGAAGTAACTGTATTTATATCCTTTCCTCAATATTCTCTGTATTTTGGAAGCTCACAAGTAAGCCAGACACCGTTAAGACAATAAGAGGGAGAAACTATGTTCCAGATTAGAGACAACATTAGACACTTGGACACAGCTTCCCCTGACCGATGCCAAGTTCATCAGTGGGGGATCAACTCCTGTCTGTGTGTCCTGGATCAACTTGGCTACATCTCTGGCTGGAGCAACGATAAAACCGTGGCCATTGTGGGCAGCATTATGGGGTGTTGAAAGCTCATCTGATTCCCTCAAATACTGAGAGAGCAGCTGACGGGCTTAGAGGTAATCCTCTGTTCACTGAACTTCTCACCTGGTCGTGTTTAAATAAAACAGCGCAATGCATTTGAAGCTTCAGTGCCCATATAACTGTAGGTTATCTAAACTTTTATTCTCTTCAAGAATCTTGTGACCACTGAGAGAAATGGAATGATGATTCAGCAGTATTGTGCCTGCAGTGTTTTCCTCTGGTGTATAGACATTCAAATTATGATACATATGGATTCTCATTTCCTTTGGACCAGACTCAACTTCTAGTGCTTGAGATGTTCTGACACAAAAATTCTGAACACCATTGTTTGTTATAGTTTGGGGGGTAATAGTTGTGGTGAGCCTGAACATAATAGGGAAGGAACTGCAGGATATATACAACAAGGGCCAGGCAGGCAGTTTTGATATAAATTGCGATACTACCTGCAGTGCCATTTTCTGCAAGCAATGTTCTTTTAAATATTTACTTTAATGGGCGTGATGATAGTGTGAGAACAATCCTCCTTAAATGTGTCAGATTATGACAACATTGACTTCACGGGTCAGGGATACTGGTCCAATGAATTGAAAAATGTTTGGGGAACCTTGTAAAATAATAATAAAGTCAGAATGCAATGATCAGTAAGTCCAGTCACCCAACAGTTGAATACATCAAATGTTGAAGGTGAGACATTTTGAAATTTTAGAAAATATTCACTCATCATGTAAACAGACATGTGTAAATGTAAGAGATTTACTGATAAAATTTAGGTCTAAACCTTTATATCCCAGAGCACTGTCGGGACATTCTCAGATGTGCACAATGCCAGTTCCATGGCCACTAATGCAACCAAATGCATTCAGTTGAAGAGAAACATTTTGTGGTTTGAATGATGATATTTTTCAATATAGATAATAGATTATTTAAATATCCATTTTATACTAATTAACTTTTCCAGCCTTTCATTACTCTTATTGTGACTTGTTGAGGCACTTTGCTGCCTTCAGTTCCAAGAGGCTGTCATCAAAAAAGGGTTTTAGTTATACATTCCTTTTAACATTTGACACGCCTTCAGTATTCTACATATTCTAAATATACTGTTGACTTTCAGGCACAGTCATTTTAGTATTCCTCTATTATGCACAAATCAGTATATCAACATGCTTCTAAAATTCTGATTTGTAATATACCTTGAGGAACTGTCATTTTAGTAATTAAAAACTGTACTTCTTACTCTCAACGTTGAAATGACTGACAGAAATTACAGAGTAAAAAAAACAAGTTCCACATACATAAAGTGTTTGTGCAGTGAGTCATTTATTTTCCAGCTACACTCTCCAGTGCCTCCATAAGAAACAGCAGTGGACCATCTACTTTGTATCTAATTAAATGACACTCATAAATGTGAGAATTATAAATTAGATCTACCCTGCTGTCTGTCATCGTAATAAACTGATTAAGTGTAATTTTGATTGGGAACGTTTTTTTATCAGGCTTATGCTTGTCTTTCGAGTAGAGCGTTTTTTTTTCCATATTTGTCAGGATGACTTAAGGTAAAACTGTCAAAGGATGAAAAGAGAGATGAATGGCAGTTGTATGAACAGCACAGGGAGCTGTTTTTCAAGAGGAGGAAAATAATTTATTTATTTTATTTTTTGTATATGTGTGATTGACAATAGAAGTTGTGCAAAGAGACTTAGCATAAACAAGGATCTGAGAGTTAAACGTGTCCCTGTTGCACTGTAATTAGAGCACGGAACAGTAATTAGTAAAATGATACACACAGAATATGCTCCCCGTGCTCTGATAATAATCCCTAACACACTCTCACACAAACACGGTTCCACACTCTGTCTTTGTTGAAGGCAGAATCACCAAACACTGCAGCACATAACTCATTGTTCTTTCTCCTCTGCCAGTGTGTGCTTTTGCTCTTATTCATCGTGCTGTAACACTGATGGTAGCGTTGGTCCTGACAGTCTTCAAACATCTGCGTGGCGCTTGTCTTTCTACTCCCTTTGAATTGAGCTCAGAACATCAAACATAATTC